AAAAATCTATTCCGTATATATTATATTTTACTTCAAATATTTCTGTAAGATGATAAGTATTTTGAGAAAAAGAACATTTTACTACAGCAAAAATCTTAAGCTTTTGCGATATGAAAGATCTTTCAATTTCGCTTTTAATAATCATTATCTTAAAGGAATGAATTAGCGTTTATCTTACTGTTCAATATGAATTTAAATAATTTAGCTGCTACTAATACACGCAAATAAATAATAAAACTTTTAAAAAATACTAATTTCAATAAAAAAATATTGAAATAAGAAAACTTTTAATTTTAAATTTAGTAATTAATCACTTGAAATTCAGTGGTGATTATTAGTCCTATTCTACCTGTTAATTAAAATACTTAACGTATTGCTTGTTACTAATTTTATTTTTCCAGTGAAATGTCCGTCTGTCGGAGTTAACTCCTCCTTCACCCCGTTAACCCTTTCACCAGGGTCTCTTTCCCTGGCTAAAATAGCCACTGACCCTTCGCCTCTATCTCTTTTTTTTCCTTCAGGGTTCAGCTATCAACCTCGAAATGTAGGCGCTAACAAGGGATAGCGTGGAAACACGCTAAGTCCACACGCACGCACATACAGAATATTCACACACCTTCGTCCTTTGTACTGTTTCCATGTGTTGTAAAATATATATTTGTATATACATATATTATCGGTCTTGTGTTTTTGTTTGCTTTTTTTTTTGCCTTCTTCTTTTGACTTAATCAAAGTCCAACCTTTTTATGTAGTTGGGCTCGGCGGGCAGGAGTATCTGAACCTTACATGCGTTACTTCTACGTCTGACTTCTATCAACAACATAACAGCCACGCCATGCTACCTCCACAAGTGGTAACCGCCACGGCCCCACTACACGTCGGCCAAACGTTTGTTCGGTGAAATGTCCGTCGGCCAAATGTCCGGCTACGGGTTCTTCACTGAGTAGAAACCAGACTTGGAGAGCAGTTCGCAATTCGAAAACCATTGAGATGGCAACGTGGAGAGTAATGATGTTCTACCACCTGAATGGTATTTAAAACAAAAAAAAGAGGAAATATTTCGTCTCTAGTTTTTTAAAGAAAGCGCTGAGAAATTTTTCAAATATCTAATAAGAATCAAATTTAACTTTCTTTCTCGCTCATAAAAAAAAAAAATCACCACCCAGTGGTGTAACCACATTTAGTGGTCCGAACCTCAAGATCTTAGAATGACGTTTTAACCACAGGGCTAATTCTGCCCTGTTCAATGCTGACGCTTGTCCAATGTAGCTGTTGGTCGCTGGTCGCTTGGATCAACACCAAAATCTGCTCAAGTTGTGTTCTTGATTTCAGAGCAGTGGAAGATTGAATGTTGCCGTAATCGCAGAGCCGGTTCAATCCGTGGTGAGCGCTAGATTAATGGTGAAAAATATCTTCATGAAGAAAGAATTAAAACGAGGGATTCATGGGGACAATCTTCAGTTGGTTTATTTAGCTCTTGGTACGGCAAAAATTAGCCCTTCCCGCATCAGTCTTCATAAAGACACTGGTCCTTGTTTAAACTTCTGGTGGAGTTTAAATTTCTTGGAATCACGAGGTCTGGCGTCAACTGACGTGGATTTCAGACATATTAAGAGGCATTCTATTCGGGTTCTCAATCCAAAGTCTCCGATCTCCCCAAAGTCACCTGCTTATATGTACTTCAGCCCCAAAACTGGCGTGGGACCGAAACGTTCTGGTGATTTGGTGATTCCGCAATTTTCAATATTCTAATAATGGGTTTTTTAGTTCCATATTTCTGCTTTCTTAATCAACGAGAGTTTTCACCGGGTGTTCACTCATTTCTCGTTTTATGAACAGGAGTAGGGATTGATCCCTTGTTCCATGTCTAGGATTGGCTTCCCAGTTACTTCTCTTAATGTCTTTCCATTAACCCCTTCCACCTTAGCGGCATTATCGCCTTGCCTCAGGTGAAATGATTAATATTAATAATAAGAGCTGATCACTCGTATTCGATGATACCTGTTTTCTAGGGTGGCTAGCAAATCCCTACTGCAGAATCTCGGTCATGCGTATTTGTATTTGTTCAATACACCAACTTACGGTGAGCAGACCTTAGTTACAGTTTCTGGGAGAGAGCGTGTTACCTAGCATGGTCAACATTCTGAACAAGGCCAGCACACTGAAACCCTCGGTCACGATGACTTGTGACTTTGTGCTAGCAGAGCTATCGACGGCCTCCAAGTGTTCAGTCTACCCAATTTCACTCACAAGGATTGGGTCAACATGTGATATAGTTTTCAGGCACTTTCCAGGGGTGATCCACAATGGGATCCTTCCCCCCACCAGTCCGATAACATCAAGAAGTCTCTTTCCTGACCAATCATCTGTGGTGAGATTCGAACCATGGCCAGAAAGCGAACATTCTAACCACCCGCCCACGCACCCATATATTAATGATTAATACATACATACATACATACATACATATATATATATATATATATATATATATATATATATATATATATATATATATAATGTAATATGCATACATCTGAGTTCCCCTCAATGGAAAATGATTGGCTGGTGTCCGTCATAAATACAGACGGACGTGTAGGTACGACAGAGTTTAAGTCTATGACGACGCCCATTGGACTAGGCCATTGGCTATCCCATTGGTCTACACCTATTACCTGCGACTATGACGAGTACCGATCGATTACAGCTACCGTGTACTACTTGGTTACTGTAGCCAAAACCACTTAGCTACTTAATTATGGGTGATTGAATGATGAAATTGTTTTTTACTACTTATCAAGCCATTGCCGGTTATTTAAATTTATATTTTGTATTGTAAGAATAATTTCTTTTGTTTACAACTCTTTATTGTATTAACAATTTTTTGAGAATAAGAATGATTTTTGACAAATGCAAATTCTACTTTTTAACTCTTAGTGAGGGGGGAAGTGATAGAGTCATACCTTTCCCATAGACTATGCGCGTAAATCAATGAAATCGATCATAAACGCAAATAACATGTTCATCATTAATTAATCATAGCTAAGGATCGGAAGTTCATGAAGCATTGAAATAAAGTTCGATATATATATATATATATATATATATATATATATATATATATATATATATAATTATTTATTTAAAATATGATTCCAACACGCTACATAAGAGTTCTCATGTTTCAAAAACAAGAGCCGAAAACTTTAAATTGAATTAAAATACCATAATCTCTGTTCCATCTTCAAGCGAAATTTTTTGGAATAACTTATTTCTGAAATTTACGCGTTTTATAAGCATATTCATTATTGAAATCAAAATTTCTATGGTAAAGGCTAGAGCAATTGTTTAAAGAAAAAGGGGCGTAAGGTGTTAATAATTTGTATCAATGACTCAGTTACATTCAACAGATGTCAAGTCAAGTCAGGGTAAGGTTGGAGTGTGTAAATTTAAAGTGGAAGATGACATCGTCCAGTCTGGTTCCTATTTCTATATATTTTTTTACACACACATATATATATATATATATATATATATATATATATATGTGTGTGTGTATATATGTGTGTGTGTATGTATATATATATATATATATATATATATATATATATATATATATATATATATATATATATATATATCCTACATTGTATGCATTATTTATATATTAAATAGCTCTGTTATTTATCATTGTGTACTTGTTGTTTTTCCTTACACTTTAGAGTATATATAAGTATCTGCATACGAAAGCTTGCTCGAACATTTACCTATATTTATCTATTTGATTTTATTATATATATATATATATATATATATATATATATATATATATATAAGGGTTATGAGGTTTTGTAACCTTATTTTCCATTCATAAATCAATGAACTGTTACTTTAATGTAATGAAAAAAGCATTTATTTGTTTTTCTTTTTGAAAAAAGTTACTCCCAAAGTGAAAATTCAGTCAGGTTTTAAATATATTTAGTTGACGCTATAAAATTGTGTTCAAAATATTTAGATTTTGGCATTAGAAAACCCCTAGAGGTTGATATGCCACTAAAGAAAATCAACTAATATATATATATATATATATATATATATATATATATATATCAGTATAGTTGAAAAATAATCTAAGCCTAAATCTCGTCTCCCAATTTATTTTTTTATTAAAAAATACTGTGTCTGTTTTAATTAATTTTGGGATTGATTTATATGTTTGATATCGGTCAAAAGTACTTAACTTTATGAACCGAAAATGAAATTAATTCATTAATACTGTTTTAACATTTCAAATGTTGAAGAAGCTAACCAAATGAGCTATGATCCTTACCCTATAAAAACAGTTGCAAGTCGATATAGCCATATATGTGGATATATACCTGGATATACACGTTCATATATATATATATATATATATATATATATATATATATATATATATATATAGGTATAGGTCATATGGAGTCGAGATGCCATCTTAAAGCCGATAACATTAAAGAATCTTTACATTTTTTCAAGAATCTCAAGACATACAATATGAGCACCAATACAGATGTGGCTGCAATATTCAATGCATGATCGATTTATAAAGATATAAGATGGATTCCGACGAATCTTCTTTATTCCTAACGAAGTTTTCCTGTTTCACATTACTTTTCTTAGATTTTAGAAAGCATCTTTCCCAATTCTAGTGCGCCTTCGGATTTCGGTGTCACAGTTTCCGTCCTCTGTTAAAACACTTTCCAGACCTAAATTCCTCGACTGTAAATCAACGAACAATATGGAATAAATGCCATGCCTTTATCTAAGAGGCTTCGAACTAAACCAATGGAAGGACGCTTATCGGTTTGAAACTGTTTTGACATTTCAACTCTTGTCTTCTCTCATTAGTCAGATAATTGCATTTGCCTTTATAAAGATTCAATTTGCCTGAGTAAACGTCTCTCTCCGAGTTACTGATTATGTCAACCCAAGGATTTATCGCCCAATTAAATCACCAGATTTAACAGTTCAGCTATCTTCGTTCCAACTTATCCCTTAACTCGAATTCGTGGAAAACGATTCAACACAACGTCTTTCTGCTTTATACGCCAACACAGCGCAAAAGTTTCACAAACTTTTCAAAAGACAGAAAAGATATCTTGTCTGAAAAAAATTCTTCTCCTCTTTTTTTTTTCTTCTTCTTCTTCTTCTTCTTCTTCTTCTTCTTCTTCTTCTTCTTCTTCTTCTTCTTCTACTACTACTACTACTACTGCTAATAATAATAATAATACTTTTATGCGCCGTGTCTCTTGAGGGCGTAGGTGACCATGGCTCTCCACAACTACCCGTCCTTTCCAGCTGATAGAAAAGATTGTCTTATTACGTTAGAAATACCTATTCTCTCCATTTTCTTGAGTTAGTCACGAGGGTCACGTGACGGTCGCTGAATGACGCCAGGAGATAGATTGACGAAGGCAGTTGTGATGTCGAGCTCAGAGAGAAAGGACGTTCCTAGCCCAAGCGGTAGGTCTTTCAGGAAAAAAAAAAACCTGGTTCGTAGATAAACCGCCGTAACTCCAGTTTTCAATTCGGTAAATATTACAAGTAAGGTTCCCCTTTCTTAAACACCGTCTGTTGTCGCATATGTTGTAATTTCTCTGCGTGGGACACGTGTATATGTGTATATATCTAATTTTGCGTACGATGCAGCATAATTAACTCTCCGAGTTTGAATCTAACGAATTTTTTTTTCTATTTCTTAATACTTTGCTTACTTTTTAAAAGGGACCTTTCTCCATCACAAAGTGTCACCGGATTTCGATGTAAAAACACATCCTATGGGAAAAGTCCAAAATTATCCGAACTTTTGTTTCAAGATATTGTTGTGACGTCAAATGACACTTTGTTGCCACTTTTATGATGTCAACGTATACTTGCTGGATATTCGTCAATGTCAACGTAGTAGAGACTTTGTAATCGCAGATACCAATTATAATACGCCGTTGAACAATACTGGTGTCAGACATCTTAGAATAATATTCGTACTAATAGTACTTCGTGTAGTGAGTAAAGAGAAGAGAATAGCGGTCCGAATAGTCATAGAAGATAGAGGAGAAAGCGGACACATAGTATAAAGTACAGACTAGAATAGCGAACACGTGACTTCCTCTACATATATGCGTTTCCGCTCGGGCACCTCGAGGTAGTGCAATGGTTAGCAAGCTTGTCTCACTAGAACAATTACGACTAAGTAGTGAGTTCGATCTTCACTGTGTGCCCCTACTTTTGGCCTTGCGCCGCATCTACGCTACGCTTGGTAAATCACTATATTTGTTTCCGCTATGGTCACGTGATCCACTTCTATAATGAGATCGCCTGTGTTTGTTCACTGGCGATCTACGTTCAAACACAAGATATGTTATGGCGAAAGTGTGGATTTTTTTTACCTACACACGAATATAAATATTTGCAGACGTTTAATTTTGATATCTCCATTTTTTTTATTCAAATGCTTTCCTTTTTTATTTACTGACGACTACACATTTTGTCTGCATACGATTGATGTTTAGTACTTTCGTCTGGCTTTCTTTTTCTGCATTCATTCTGTAGGGATTCTTGTAGTGTTCCTTCCTATGTCTGTTATCAACAGCGTCTATCTAATATTGTTAACATTGAGGCAGCCAGTTATGAATCATGGTACGACTTCTAATTCTTACAGCCAAAAAACTCGCCTACCAAGCAGTCGTTTACCGCTAACAAAAGATATAACAACGCCTCGTATTTTGGCCGACATCAAATTTGGTAATAAGCCAGGCTGATTGTCATTAATCTATGTCTGTCTCATAGAAGTGGGGGTTTTATCTCCTTAACGATACCATTTCTTGCCTATCAAAACTGCGAGGAGATTGTCCAGCATTCACTACCATATAGAAGTGATATTATACAACTGTTAAGCACTCTTTCCTTTGTTTCTTTTGCATCAAGTCTCTTCTTCATCTGTGAGGAGATTGTTCAGCATTCACTGCCATATAGGAGGACTGATATTACGTAACAGTTCAGTACCCTTTTCTTTGTTTCTGTTGCCTCAAGTAAGTCTCTTCTTCATCTGTGAGGAGATTGTCCAGTATTCACTGCCATATAGGAGGACTGATATTATATAACCGTTCTGCACCCTTTTCTTTGTTTCAGTTGCCTCATGTCTCTTCTTCATCTGTGAGGAGATTGTCCAGCATTCACTGCCATGTAGGAGGACTGATATTATATAACCGTTCAGCTCCCTTTTCTTTGTTTCTGTTACCTCAAGTCTCTTCTTCATCCGTGAGGAGATTGTCCAGCATTCACTGTCATAGTGGAGATATAGATATTTAAATGTTTATACTTATTTATATTTGGCATCTTCAATTTGTAATTGCCATGTTGGACTGTTTCTTTTGCTAACAACCATACGTTTTGTCTTCTTTAATTTGATGTTTAGTCCTTTCTTCTCGCTTTCCTTTTCTGCTTTTATTCTGTTCTTGTAGTTTTTATTTTTTTGCTTGTTATCAACACTGTCTGTTTAATTTTGTTAAGATTATGATAGCTAATTCGGCATCATTAGAAGATTACTAATTCTTCAAGAGGAAAAAAGCATTCGCCTACCAAGCAGTCGTTTACCGCTAGCAAAAGATATAACAACGCCTCATATTTTGGCCGACACCAGGTTTGGTAATAAGCTAGGCTGATTGTCATTAATCCATGTTTGTCTTATAAAAGTGGGGGTTTTATCTCCTTAACGATACCATTTCTTGTCCATCACGTAGATTAATGGATAACCGCTCGGATTGAGGGATCGTAGAACCGAGTTTGAATTCCAGTCGAATCCATTATATTCATTTACGTGTTAATACCCTTGAGAAAAGTATGACTCTTCTTCTCTCCCCAACCCCAGCTATGGGTAAATAGCAGGATAGATCGGGTTCTTGGATGGCAGATGGAGTACAACTGAAAGAAATGGCAACCTATTGAGTGAAAAATCTGCCTCTTGGGTCATGTATCGAAACATACATGATCGCCTAAGCGTGTATCACGCATGGCATGTTTGCCGATGATATCGAACTGTGTGTTTATATAGTCGCAACTGAGTCTTGATCAATCACAATACGAGAAGAACGATGACAATATTTGGTGAGATCTACATGTAAGAAAAGTAAAAAAAGAAGAAGAAGAAGAAGAAGAAGAAGAAGAAGAAGAAATATGTGCGAGAAGGAGAAGAGCCAACTGCAGAAGATGTAAGAAGATGAAGTTGAGAGCTAGAAGAAAGGAGAAGAAAACTTGATAGCAGAAGAAGAAGAATAAAAGTAGACACAAGAAGAAAGTGTTGATATCTAGGAGGGGGAAGAAGAAGATGAAGAACAAGAACAAGACATGCTGAGTGTCAGAGGATGAGCCAATTACAGAAGGAAGAAGAAGAAGAAGAAGAAGAAGAAGAAGAAGAAGAAGAAAAAGAAGAAGAAAGCTGCAGGATAAAGAGGATGAAGAAGGAGAAGAAAATCTAACTGAGAAAAAGAAAACTAATTAAAGAAAGAGGAATTAAAAAAAAATGGGTGCCAGACGAAGAGCTAATTAAAGAAGAAGAAGAAGAAGAAGAAGAAGAAGAAGAAGAAGAAGAAAAAGAAGAAGAAGAAAAGTTGACTGGACGAAGAAAAAAGCCAGTTGCACAAGAAGAAAAAGCAGATGAAGAAATGTTGACTGCAAGAAGAAACAGTTGCTTTCTGGAGAAGGAAAAAGAAGAGAAAGAGGGGAAGGTTGAGAAGAAGAAGAAGAAGAAGAAGAAGAAGAAGAAGAAGAAGAAGAAGAAGAAGAAGAAAGCTGCAGGATGAAGTGGATGAAAAAAAAACTAATTACAGAAAGAAGAAGTAAAAAAAGCTCTCTCTCTCTCTCTCTGGGTGCCAGACGGAGAGCTAATTATAGAAGAAGAAGAAGAAGAAGAAGAAGAAGGATGGTGGGGAAGAAGAAGGCGGAGTAGAAGACGAAGGAAGAGGAGGAGGAGGAGGAGAAGAAAAAGAAAAAGAAGAACAAGAACAATAGCAACAACAACAACAACAAAAACAACGACAAGAAAGAAGAAGAAGAAGAAGAAGAAGAAGAAGAAGAAGAAGATGAGGAGGAGAAGAATGTGGATGAGGAGAAGATGGAGAAGTAGGATGGTGGGGAAGAAGAAGAAGGCGGAGTAGAAGACGAAGGAGGAGGAGGAGGAGGAGAAGAAAAAGAAAAAGAACAATAGCAACAACAACAACAAAAAAAACAACGACAAGAAGAAGAAGAAGAAGAAGAAGAAGAAGAAGAAGAAGAAGAAAGTGGACTGCAATAAGAATTAGTCGATTGCTGGAGGATGAGGAAGATGAAGAAGAAGAAAAGCTGATTGGGAGAAGTAGAAGAAGAGCCTGTTGCAAAAGGAAGAAGAAAAGGAAGGAGAAATCTGACTACACGAAGAAGAGCCAATTGCACAAGAAAGAAAAGCAGATAAGGAAAACGATATCGCAATGAATGTTTTTAATTTGGTTGAGGAGTTTAATTGGGGTTACTTTTTCTATTCAACTGGCATTTCGTGAGCATTGTCATTTCGCTACACGATTACACTTCCATTGACAATAACTGTTGAATACATTAAGACGATCAGCGTCAATTTGGCGCACCATCTCTTCCAGCGAATTCAGTCCGCATATTATTTATGCGTTTATCTATTTATTTCTAATTCTATTCATTTATTTATTTAGCCTGATTTATTTATTCAGGCTTAAATACCTGTCGGCCTTCAGTTCAGACAAACTTGAATCTTTTCTCCTCAAGTATTAGGTTGGTGCAAAAATAATGACGTAATAATGTCGTTTTTTGACGTTAAAAAATACATCAAAAAACGACATTATTGCGTCATTATTTTTGCACCAACCTAATATCTTATTAATGTTATAGGAACGCTGCCGTCGTACACACAACCACAGTTTATCTACCCGCTCACGCACTTATCCACACAAATGCATACATACATACATACATACACACGCATATATTTTAGGCGCCCCGTCGGCTGGGACTGTAGAATACGCCGACTGCACCTCTGCAGAGGAGTAAGTACCCCCTTCAATGGGAGGTTCCGGTTATGACGATAAACTTCATCCGCGTCCAGGGAAAGACAATAAACTACGTCCAACAGAAAGGCCTCTGATAAGGAGGTTTTGAGAAGCATGGAACCACCTATTAATTGCTGAAGTTCCCAGGTCTACCCTCACCCGGTGTAGTAGCACCTGTTAGGGTCCCAGCTATGGGAAAATAGT